GCTCAAGGTAGAAAGATACTCGTTCATGCGTAGGCGAGGATGGGCAGTGACATGGATAACATGGACACCAACATCATCGCTGCTGCTGCGGACGCTATTCGCAGTTCCAGCCGGGATAGGATTCAGGGAAGCTGCGACAACCACGGTAGAGACGTGGCCTACAGGCACAGCATTGATCGTGTTGATGATATGCGGGCGGCTGGAAAGTTGGATGCAGCCCTTGAGCATGCGGAGAAGAAAGTCGTCGGTATTGCAGACACCAGTAGCAGCATCTCCAAGGATATAGCCAGGTCGGATGATCGATCCAAGGAGGCCGCGTCTGCCAGCCTCGCGGACGAGCTGTTCAGAGACCTGTGGTGCGTTAGAACGGACGTTACTTGCGAAGAGAGTGTCTGTGGAGGCTACTTACCCATTTGGACTGGCCGTATCCGGTGCCGAGACCGGTGCGACTGCCCATCATGTCATCAGCCTCCATAACAGCGCCTTGTCCAGTCTTGGTCTGTTCGTGTGATAAATCCAGATAGTGGTCCGTATCCAGAACGCTTGTCGAGCTGATGAATGAGAAGAGCTTAGGCTTTCCCTGGTTACACAGCCGCAGGGCATCGAGTGTTGACAGAACATTGCTGCGCTCAAGATGCTCATACTGCTTTACCCAGTGAACGAGGGCACCATTATGGATAATCACATCGACAGTGTCGCCAAGCATCTTCCACGTATCGTCATCAAGTCCAAGACGCGGCTGAGCCAGGTCACCGATGACTGCGCTAAGCCTAGCAGCCCAAGAATCCTGCCATACGCCGTATCCGCGAAGTGACCTCTGAAGCCGCTCGAGGGCAGCCGCGACGCTCTTTGTTCCACGGACATGGGCGATCACATTTATACTCTCACGCGCGAGCAGGTCCTTAACAATGTAGGAGCCCAAGAAGCCTGTGGCGCCGGTGACAAACACGGTTGTCTTGCCTTCCGGCGAGAGTGCTGCGGCGTCCGCTGTCTGGTACTTAGCATCGAGACTACCGAGCAGCTTGTCGAGTGACTCGGCATATGCAGCCTCGGTTTCCTCCGTCGCGGCCGAATCGTTCTTGCCGTCACGCTGGCGGTCAATCTGCTTGCTGAGAGCCCCGAGAGACGAGTTTGAGTACAGCGAGCTGATGGTCATGTTGACCCCCAGTTGCTTGCGGATATTGAGAAGGAGCTGCTGGGCCAGCAGACTGTGCCCACCACTTTCAAAGAAATCTGACTCAGGCTGCAAAGTTCTCGCATTCAGACCACTGATCAGCGTTGCCCACTGCTCCGCCAGTTCCTTCTCGGTGCTGCTAAGCGTTTCCCATCTCTTCAGATCCTCCTCTGAAGTCTCTTGCGAGATCAGAGCCGCGTCCGGGAACGGTAGGTTTGGGCTGTCAATCTTGCCGTTCGGGTTCAAAGGCATCTTGTCCAAGAAGATAAAATAAGTCGGGATAGCCTGAACTGGCAATCGAGATTTGAGATGATCACGAATCTCTGTCTGCAACGGCCGGTAGCGCTTGGAATATACGAAGACGGGTCCGATCTGAGTGCCTTCGTCCTTGGTGTCGTCCAGGCTGCGCTCTGCCAGCCATTTGAGCCATTCTTGCTGTTCAGGCACAATGTAGCTGACCAATGTTGGCTCTTCGTTCCGGTCTCTTCGAAGCAGCGTTTTGCACTCGCGAACGATGGCGTGTCCCCTCAAGTTGCTGTCAATCTCAGAAAGCTCAATTCGGAAGCCACGAATTTTAACTTGATCATCAGCTCTGCCTATGATGGCAGCGTTACCGGAGTCGTCCAAGAAGTACCCCAAGTCGCCGCTTCTGTAGATTCTGTCTCGAGGGCCCTTGTAGTACTTTCTCCAGGGCTCTTTAGCGTGATCAGCGACTTTGTTATCGGCATCAACCCATTTCTGGTTGTCGACAAACCAGTTCTGGAGGAACTTCTCCTTGGTTTTCTCTTCGTCATCCAGATATCCGTGCAGCAGAAGGTTAGCAGGACTCTATCATGGAAGGGGGAGACTTATCTCAGCCAAGCCTGCTGCTCTCAGCATGATCTCACCAACCTCTCCAACGCCACAAAGCTTGGTAGGATCCTCGCGGTTGACTACAAGAAGCTGGACATTCTCAATGCCCCTTCCAGCAGGAATAATGTCGCCCAATCTATCCAACGCATCTGGATCTTCAGCGCGGCTCTTGATGTGATAGTACGACACGCTGCGGCTCGTCTCAGTGGTACCATAGGCAGCACAGATCTCCGCGTTGGGTGCCAGCTTGCGGAGCGAAGCGCAATCCTTCTTGGTCAAAATATCACCAACGTAGAGAACCCACTTCAATGAAGGGAACTCTGCCTTAGCACCGCCGCACAAGATTTGACCCATCGCGGGTGTCAAATGGACCGCGTTGGGTTTGTGATCACGGAACCACTCAGCCAACCTTTCGTGGGCGATGTTCTCTCGAGCAGGGCAAATCAGCTCTCCACCCATGAAAAGCGGACTGAAAATGTCTCGCTGAATAGGATCATGGCTTATACCACTGTAATTGGTTAGCAGAGCTGTGACGGGCATCATCTTTAAGGGGCTCTACCTCAGACAAGCGAACTTTGTGTCCGAGGTCCAGTTGAATGTTTTAGCCATCCATGGGAAGTACTTGGCTAAGCTGTAATGACGGCCCAACACGCCCCTATGAATTGTCAGCTAGTTTCTAAGCTTCAACAGTTACGGGGGGCTCGACTTGGGTCTTGATGTTGTGCCACTGGTAAAGCTCAAGATACTTGTTGAGTCGGGCCCTACCAGAACATCCGGGGGCGCTTGTGCTTTGCTTTCAGTATCGGTAAAGACTTGCTTGCCGTCAATCTCGCCACCGGTAAGACGGCCATCATCGCTCATCCGTAGCTCTGGTACTTGGATCTTGAGAGATAGTTCCTCGTCCATGTACTTCTGAACAAGCGGCGCAAAATCACCATGATCGTCCCTGGCTCGGCCAATCGTGATCAGAGCCTTGGGCTGTGAGACCTCGAGATAGATCTGTTGTCTCGCTGGGGGGTATGCGGGGTCCAGGACGGTAACAGTGGCACCGGCAGCCAGGGTTCCCATGAAGGCGATGACGAGTTCAACGCAACGAGAAGCAAAGATCATCACGACATCGCCATTGGTGATGCCAGCTTCGTGAAGCTGGTTGGCCAGAATGTTGGACGCCTCATAAATCTGCTTGTAGGTGAATCTCCTCTCAATTGTGGTGGAGGAGGCTGTTTCCGTGACGCACGGCGCATCAGGATTCTTCAAAGCATTCTTGCGGAATATCTCGTGGATGGCGCCAACATAGCCGCCCCAGTCAAGGTCGATGGTGGGATCAGGAAGCCCCATAGCGGCAGAGAGACAGCAAGTTTTGTTGTACTGAGCCGGTAGAACACAATTGCAAGATCGAAAGTGTTGACTTGGAAGATGTGTCACCAGAGGGGAATTCTGCTGTGCGCCGATCGTCGGCGGAGGGGCAGTTTTTTCTTACAGTGAGGTGGGCGGGAGTTCTGACGGCGCGGTCACGTGGAAGCAGAGTTTAAAAGATTAGTCACAGGCTTTGGCAGGGGTGAAAGCCAACCAAAGGCTTTGAATCTGCTTCTGGGCCCATTTATTCAGCGTTTGACTCATATGTGACCTACAGCAGAAGGCAGCAGAAGGCAGGCGCAAAATGTAGGCACAAAACCAACCTAGCGTAGAGGGCAGGCGCAGAGGACAAATGTGGGCTGCGTAGAGGGCAATTAGGTAGACTTAGCGGGCGGGTAGTGACTAGGTAGGTGCTGATGGCCACCTCAGGCACTGTACCTAGGTACCTAGCGAGAGAGGCAGTATTAGGAAGGGACGACTACCATTACAAGGCTCTGATTGGCTCGAAAGCCGCACCCTGCGAGAATAGCAAAGTTACCCTGCGCTTTTACCCAAACCGCGTTAGGGATACTGGACAAGAGCTTCCTACTGAGGAGCCATTCCTCAGCTCACATAACTCTACAGTCGACAACTTCACGTCGTTTCTCCGTGACCCTGAACGTCATCGGATCGTGTATCGTCTTGGATTTTATGAATGTCATGTCCAATACTTACTATTAGAACCTTCCAAAACGACTTCAGCTGGGCCAGCGATCATAGCGTTGCATTCCAACCACCGTGGAGGTGAACATCCCGAGTGGATATGTCTCATCCCGCCTCCCTCGGACCTTCGAGATGAAGTCTTTCTCACCACCCTTCCCAGGCCTTCAACCTGTCACTGGAATGGACACATCGAATATTCCTCGCCTAAGCCTCCCATTATGGCGATTTAGCTCGCATCACTCTGAAACGAGGCTCGTCCTTGTCCCCGTTCGGTAGGAGACAGGGCGAGTGCCCTTTGGAAACCACATGGAACGGGAAACGTTAGTGTGCGCGATGCGCGCTCACTCGCGACTCCTTTGCGAGGGCGCGACCACTGGCGCGAAGGGAGGCATCAAGCACCGGCAGACAGGAAAACATGGCAATATGATTCGCGCCAAGTGTATCCTCTCCTGGTATCGTCCTGTGCTTCTCCCGTCTCTGCTGCCGAGATAACCTTCGTCTGCCATGCCTTTCTCTCATTGAATTTGTTGTTGTTGTTTTCCGCTTCTTTGGCTCGCAGATGCCGCTCATTTCACTCACCCCGTCAGACATGGCCTCATTTGGGATGCTGCGGGTGCTACTGCTACTCCATCTAGCTGTGCGGACAGGCGCAGTTCCGGTCGTTTACTTTCCATTCAATTCCCAGCTGCCACCAGCAACGAGGATATCCGAGCCATTTTCATACACTCTTTCACCGCAAACCTTTTCTTCTCAATCACAAATCTCTTACAGCCTAAGAGATGCACCAAAATGGCTCTCAATCGACAGCAGCACCGGGCGTCTGTCAGGAACGCCTCAAGATGCCGATGTTCCGTCCGGGGAGGTAGTTGGGGTTCCAGTAGATATCATTGCGACAGACGACTCTGGTTCGGCGACAATGACGGCTACTCTCGTGGTGACCAGGAACCCGGCACCAACAGTCAAGATTCCGCTATCCGAACAAATCCAGCAATTTGGCGACACTTCTTCGCCATCTGCAGTCGTAGCCTCTCCTGCTTCCGACTTTTCCTTCTCATTCGCCAAGGACACGTTCTCCTACACGGGAAACGGCATTAACTACTACGCCACTTCAGCAAATAACAGCCCTCTACCTTCATGGATCAAGTTCGACTCTGGCAGTCTGACGTTCACCGGAAAGACTCCGCCATTCGAGTCTTTGGTTCAGCCGCCTCAAAAGTTTGACTTTAGTCTTGTTGGGTCTGACATTGTAGGATTTTCGGCCGTTTCAGTCGTGTTCTCTATCGTCGTTGGCGCGCACAAACTGACGACTGATACTCCCATCGTCAACATCAACGCGACGGCGGGGCAGGAAGTATCTTACGAAACATTGGCCGAAAGCATCAAATTGGACGGCAAATCTATCGCGCCGACTGATCTGAACCTCACCACTTCCAACTTACCGAGCTGGCTCTCGGTCAATAATTCGACGCTAGTCCTGAAGGGCACACCTCCCGACGACGCAAAATCCTCGAATTCCACGCTCACGTTTCGAGATGTCTACGAAGATACTCTTGACATCTTGTTGTCTGTCTTGATAACGACTCGAATCTTCCGGAACACAACACTCCAATTTGATGTTACGCCTGGGGAAGCCTTCTCATTTGACGTTGAGCCCTATTTATGGACTCCAGCCGATGTAGAATTGGGCCTCAGCAACTCGCAAGATTGGGTCGAGGTTGATGGGCTCAAAATCACAGGAACAGTCCCCAAGTCTGCGTCACCGAAGAACACCAAGCTTCTCGTCAAGGCCACTTCGAAGAGCTCAGGAGAGTCCGAAACCGTTGCTGCAGATCTTGAAATTTTGTCGGCAGCTGTGACCACCACATCGGCGCAACCGACACCTTCTGCCAGCCCTACGAAGTCCGCAGCAAGCGAAAATCCAAGAAGAGGGTTGAATCCCGGGCTCATTGCCTTGGCGGTGCTCCTTCCTATTCTTTTCCTTTTCGCCATAGTGATCTTGATTATCTGCTGCCGACGAAGGAGACAACGCGACTCCATACACGAGCAGAAGAAGAGTCAGATATCGGAGCCTGTACCTGGCAGCTTTGTTTGGAATGGTAGCAGACACAGCCGGGAAACGTCCAATCCATCCATGGTCGAGATCATCAAGAGGCCCGAAGACAGCCGTCGCAGCCGAGGATACTTCAACTCTGCAGTGGCGAGGATGCGACAGTCGAGAACGCTTTCAACAATCACCGGCTCCCGCATCTCCCAGTCACTTCACCGCAACTCGTCGCACTGGAGGAGTCCTCGGAGTGACAGGAGTGTGCCTACCTCGCCCTCATTTGGGTCGTCATGGCTCACCGAGGGTGTTTACTTCCAACCACAACACGCGCACCAAGGATCAACAAGCACATATGACGGTCCGAGCGATGTCCTTTCTGGTTCCTCCGGCTTCCTCCAGGGTGAGCGAGACGACTCTTTCCGCAGCGCCCTGGACGTCACCATCCCTTCGATGCATGACGAAGTAAGCAGCATCCAGGCAACACCAGATATGGCTTACACGAGTCCATGGGGAGAGCCGTCGAGACTAGTCCTCGACAGGTCAACGCCACTCTCGGCTGCTACACACTCGGATAGTCTGGCGTCAATTCCTGAGCAGCCGACACCATTGGGGTCGCATCCCACCCACGGCCGGCGCTTTTCTCCCGCTCAAAGGCCGAGGCGGACATTCTCCTTGCTAAGTTCTAGATCACAGAACAGCGTTCGCAGCTCTCGGTCCGGGTCAGGAAGAGGTAGAATGGGGCGTCAAGACTCGCAGCCGGGGTCGTGGACGGGGTCCATGATGAGTCGGCCTATCAGCAGGAAGTCGGACTCCAGCCCTTTCTTTGGCGGGCGCTCCGTCGTACCGTCCCGCAATCGCTACAACCTCGACAGCGACTCAGACTCCCTGGAGTCCTCAACGCGGGGAACGGAAAATTGGCAGACAATACCCAGGGATTCTCTGGGCATCGCCTACGCTGAGCTGGCCCAGACCTCTCCTTTCCTGAGAAACCAGTCTTCCATGTCTCCTCGACCTCTCAGCATTGTCAAGAAAGACTCCAGCGGGCCAAGAATCGGCAGGGAAAGCCGACCCGGAAAGCAGATGTCGTTGTCTCGGCGACGATCATCCAGTTCCAATGCCATATCTACGGGACGCTGGAGCAGGAATTCTCCCGCGGAACATGGGCCGTCCGGCGCCCAGCCGGGCTACGCATCGTCTCGGGCGAGTAGCGAAGTGCTGGGCAAAGGAAAGGGGCTTGCGCGATACTCCTCAGGCCTTGAATCAGACAACTCCGACTGGATGACAGAGGCGGGCACGGTGGGGAAGAAAGGACCTCGGAGTCGTCTGGACAGCAGCGACGATTACCGCGTATTCATGTAAAAGGCATACTTTGTCACCACCCTCGTTTAAAAGCGTTGCGATTTGTTATACCCACCTGGCGAAGCAAGGCTCCGTGTATTCTGGTGATTGGATTCTGTAATGGAAGGCGATATGGTAATGCTAGAATGGGTTGGACACGGTGTGATGGGCTGAACGGACGACCCTTGACAGGGAACCTAGGACTGTAATGTTGAATTGACGATGCCACAAAAGCTAATCTGGATATTGGGGCACGATACCCCGCGGACCCCTTTTTTCTTTCTGCTTTTCTTTATTTAACAAAACGAGTCTGTGCTCCTTATCCTGGACAGGGCAAGAGTTGGCCTTGTGGGGGGACCCGGTCAGCGCACATTGCACCGAGTGGTCCGACTGCACCGGCGGGGGGGAGGGGAGCTCAGCCACAGCTTCGACGATTAGCGCCCGCCGCGCTCCAAAAAGAGGAAACCCCCACCGTTAAGCCCCATCGGGGTTTAGGACGTTGGGCGTAGAGCAGCTGGTCTGCCTTCGTTGGGCCATATTCACCGAGCAACATGGTGTTACATTTGAAAAGGAGAGCAGAGGGTAGAGCTTGGACCTTTGTTTCCGCCAAACTGTACTGCTTCAGGGACTCTACGTAGCTTGATCTCGGAGGCGGGAAAGGGGAAAGGAGAGGGGAAAGCTGCTGAGGGGAGATGGGGATTTTTTTTTTCCTTGGGCAGAGGAGAGGGGCAGGAAGAGGGGGGCCTTGCATGAGCACCGTGCAGTCGATATGGCAGGTGGGTAAGACGGCTCTGGCGGGCTTCATCAAACGATGACGGATGTCTGTGTCCCCGGGAAACACGGTCCTTACTGTGGTGATGCTTTCGAAGTAAGATGAAGAGAGGAGACATTCAGCAAGCAACGCGAGGTACTAAAGCTCGCTGAATAAGACGGGCCTAGCAGGCGTATGGTGCATAGGAAATATCATTCTGTGTACTATGCAGTATGGCCAAGAAGCGAGACATGACGCAACCATGGGAAAGCTCGCTCATACTCATCAGGAATTCCGCATCGGACTTCAACAGTAGCAGCCAAACCTTGTATGGCGAAATGCTTGAGGATGACGATGCATGGCACCTCTTCAAGTGCCGCTGTTCCAGTGCTTCCATTCCTGTGTGCCATTGGCTGGCGGTTGCCAGGTGTTGACTGGGTCGCGTGGGAGTCATAAACTGAGAGAGAGACTCGGAGACTGCAAGAGAGAGGAAAAGCACGCGCAGTACAGAGTCGCCCCTCAACGTTCTGGTCTCAGCACCTTCGCCAGAGACTGACAACTTGTCAACTTTACTAGGGCCAGTTGCTTCAGTCCAGGATTGACTTGACTGGACAGTCTGTCTCTGAGTGGACTCCCTGCAACTGTAGACTAGTCAGCCGACCTGTTGGGAGGCGGCCGAAGGGTGACTCCTTGTCATTGTGGGTGGTGTTGGTGCAAGCAGCGCAGCACAGTGGAGGCGATATGCGCGTTGACTACCAAGGCCAACTCTTCCCCTCTGCATTTTCAAGCGATGCTCAAGACAGACGCTCATGAACTGCTGTGTAATGGCCAAGGTAGGCAGGTTACCGAGGTGCCGTGGTCGGAGGTACTACTGCATGTATCAATGGACTCATGGCAGAGTGAGTACCTTAGTCGTGGTGGTTGCCATTGCCTGGGCTGCTGGTTGCTGGTTGCTGGGTACATATGTGCCCGCTTAGGTTAGAGCCAGCAAGCACCTCACCTCAGCAATATCCCGCGCTCTGCCCGCGGCTCCAGGCCGGGCTGGGCTGGGTTGGTTGGTCGCGGTGGCCTGTGCCTGCCTAGGTATGTACCTACCTTACCTGCGAATACCTGGCCTACTAGGTGCGTAAGGTAAGGTGTGTTGCTTCTGCGCCTTCCGTATCGCATAGCGACTCCCCAACACACGCGACCTGACCGTCACCACCACTCTCTTCCTGTGGGAAAACTCTTCTTGCTCACAACCTCACCCACCGAGCCACGATTGAGTTCGGTTTCTCTTTTTCCCCTTTCCCCTTCACCTTTTCTCCCTCTCCTGCGCAACCTCACCTCGTCGCGCAAAACAGCTATACCGTCCGACCGATCACGCCGTCTTCCTCTCACCACAATCCTTTTGGGGATCGCCGACCATCCCCTGCCATTTCCCTGCGATTCGGATACCCCGCTTCCTGCCCATTGTGCGCGATCTAGAACCTTTTGCTACCGCACCACCAACCGTACCGTACCGCACCGCACCACCCTCTTCACCTCTCGCCTCTTGTTTTTTTTCTCAGCCTTCCTCGCGCACCCACGAACGGCTCTGAAAATTCTGCTCCCTCGCGATCCGATCCGCCCAGCACCAGCAAATTGCCCGACCGAATTCCCCTCTTCCTCCCGGTAGCTGCGCTGCCGACAAATTGCATCCATCATCATGGGTCAAACTCTCTCCGAGCCCGTTGTCGAGAAGGTATGTCAGGATCTGCCACCACTGCGCCCACCCGAGCCTTTGCTCCTGGTCTCTCCTGCTGCTCTTTGTCTCCGTCCTTTGCGACAGACTGCCTTTCTCTGTACCTGCTCTCCTCTTCTTCCATGCCAGCCTCCGACCCCGCTCCTCCTGCTCTTCACTTGTGATATCCTGTGCGGGCGGGGGAACTCTGGGACCCGGGGGTCTGGATACGTGGCCCAGGCTTCATCTTGCTCGACTACCTCACCCATGATGACGTACCTGCCAATTTTATGTGTGAATCATTCAACTGACCTCAACACCAAAATTGTAGAACTCGGCCAAGGGTGAAGATGAACGTCTTCTCTACGGTGTGTCGGCCATGCAGGGCTGGCGCATAAGCATGGAGGATGCTCACATCACCGTCCTCGACCTTCTTGCCCCTGGCAGCGACGAAGCTAAGAAGCACGACTCCAAGCTCTCCTTCTTTGGAGTCTTTGATGGACACGGAGGTGACAAGGTGGCCTTATTTGCTGGAGAGCACATTCATGAGATCATCAAGAAGCAGGAGACCTTCAAGAAGGGCAACTACGAACAGGCATTGAAGGACGGCTTCCTCGCCACCGACCGCGCGATCTTGAACGGTAATATTCGACCTCTACACCGTTTCCAATCTTTCTGGCCACTCTTTTGGGCTGTGTACAGATTCATGGACGTAATGTTGGAAGAAAAACAAGAGCTAATGCGTGGTGGCTGCATCAGATCCTAAGTACGAGGAGGAAGTCTCTGGCTGCACTGCTTGTGTTGGCTTGATCTCCGACAACAAGATCTACGTCGTGAGTTTGCTTACGTCCCCGCTGACGGGCGATCCTTTTGGCTTCACTTACCAACCTTACCGGGAATTAGGCAAACGCCGGCGATTCGAGAAGTGTCCTTGGTATCAAGGGACGAGCTAAGCCCTTGTCCCAGGACCACAAGCCTCAACTCGAAGGTGGATAGTTTCTGTCATTGTTTATGTGTTCGCGGCTTTGGAGGAATTGTGACTGACATGATTCCAATAAAAGCCGAGAAATCCCGTATCACAGCCGCCGGCGGTTTCGTCGACTTTGGCCGTGTCAACGGCAACCTCGCCCTGTCGCGTGCCATTGGCGACTTCGAATTCAAGAAGAGCGCCGAGCTCTCTCCTGAGGCCCAGATTGTCACCGCCTTCCCCGACGTCGAGGTCCACGAGATCACTGACGATGACGAGTTCCTGGTCATTGCTTGTGACGGTAAGCAAACAACAGGACGTGGATGACATGACACAGCGTTGATGTATTATTTGCAGGTATCTGGGATTGCCAGTCGTCTCAGGCGGTTGTCGAGTTCGTTCGACGTGGCATTGCGGCCAAGCAGGATCTGGAAAAGATCTGCGAGAACATGATGGACAACTGCTTGGCGTCCAACTCGGAGACTGGTGGCGTTGGTTGCGATAACATGACCATGGTCATTGTCGGCCTTCTGCGCGGCAAGACCAAGGAGGAGTGGTACGAGGAGATTGCCAAGCGTGTTGCTGCTGGAGACGGACCTTGCGCCCCTCCCGAATACGGTACGACTGAATCCACCTCATCCTAAGCAAAAGAACGGTTGGAGACGCGCCAGCATATCCATTCGCATCGAGTCGCATCGTCGCTCTCTTCCCCTCCCATAATACAACCATTGAACCCTCCGTATCCGACACCCATTTGTTACGTGCCCCTTACACATCACACATACATTCGTTTTTCCAAGGAGGAGAGAGCTGATCCATCCCGTGCAACTAGCTGAATTCCGCGGCCCTGGAGTTCACCACAACTTCGACGACAGCGACAGCGGCTACGACGTTGACCTGGAGAACAAGGGCAAGCCCTTTGGCATTGGTGGCTACAAGGGCCGTATCATCTTCCTTGGTGATGGCACCGAGGTCCTGACCGATTCCGACGACACCGAGATGTTCGACAACGCAGAGGAGGACAAGGACCTCGAGAGCCAGGTTTCCAAGGCCACCTCGACCACGAGCAAGGACAGCAACGCGGAGGAGTCGGCCGCCAAGAAGCCCGAGGAGGAGAGCAAGACGGGTGTGGAGAAGCCCAAGGAAGAGTCAAAGCCAGCCGCTGCACCCGCCGCGTCAACGGAAGCGCAGACCACCGAGAGCAAGGAGAAGTGAGCTCCTTCTCCATTGATGACGAACCTTTTTACCACCACTCATGAATACTACGGATGAGCATGCTGGCTTGAACGGATCGGAAGATACGGTTCCGGACGAAAGAGAGACTTTATACGGCTTGGCTGGGCTGGATGACTGAATGTTTCCTGTTGTTTTCTTCATCATGTTGGGTGTCCGGGCCTTTTTTATTTTGTGTCAGAATTGTAAGACGGGGGAGGAGAGCAGTTGCGGCGACAAGGAGAGGGCCGCGGTTTTTTTTTCCCAAAGAGAGGCAGAGACTCCCCCACAACGCGCGTGCTGTAGCCGAGTGGCCTCTCGTGGCCTACCTGAATAGCACGTCTTCCTCATGAAATCATTTGCATAAACCACCTCAAGCTGTTCTTCAT